AAATCCTAGCTTATGCGGATACTTAATAAGTTAAAACCCTGGGTTTTGACCTATGGAAATTATATTTGATAATAAACTTCTAAATAGCCCATTGTAATAGGGTGGATACCACCACATTGTTTGTGAGAAAATTTTGTTTGTCCCCATAATTGATTCGAATCTATGATGGCGGTTTTTTTTAAAAGAGTATTTAGGAAGGTTTTAAAAGCATTTAAATGATTCTTTGACAGGAATGTAGATTATATACGAAGTGAGAGAGCAAAATATAATGCATCTTGATGTGAAAAATTTCTTAAAAGAATTGATAAATATTATAACTCAGAAATCATATTTTTTTATTCCATATTTTTCATGATATATTTAGCCTTTTCTCGAAATTTATAGAAATCTTAGAAGGATGAATGCGGATAATCTATTCCTCTCATTTGACTATTCTGATTCGTCCATCGTCAAATGAAGTAAAATTTATTATTTATCCATACTGAGAAAATTCCGATTCCCCGTCATTCTTGACGGGCTATCAGCTAGAAATAGAATAAATGACAAAATATGAAATTTAGAAAAATTGTTCAGTTAGCAAATTAAAATGTAAAATATATTAATATAAAACCCGGCCGAAGGCCGATTAACGAGTATGGGGGGGATGGGCTTCGCCTTAAATACATTTATTTTTAGTTTAATCCCCTGAGATTGTAAAGGCGAGTGGCGCCCCTGAAACTTATTATAAAATTATTAATATTTTTGTGGTTGGAGGATGTGAGAAAGAAGTAATAGTGGTAGGAGTTGTATTTTAATAGGAAATCTGTAAATAAAAAATTTAGTTAAATAAATAAATTTACCTGATTCTGTAATTATTGAACTTTCTGATGTCCATATGAAACTTTTATAATTATTAATGATCTGGTTTACCAAACGATATTTCTTCCAATATTACAACTGTCAAACAGATTTCGCTTGGCTTTTGATGGTGGATGTTATTCACAAAATATTTTATTCCTACGAAAAATAATAAATAAATACGTACCGATGGCATGACATAGCGATGACATGACATAGTGAAAACATAGTGAGGACATCGGAAAATTATAATATAGATGAAATGGAAAGTGGAGTAGAATTTATAATATTAAAATATAAGTTAATATGTTCTATAAATGAAACTAAAAGCTAAAAAATGAGATAATCAGATACCTAATTATCAAACATCGTTAGTTTTACATACTCCTCAAAAAAAACTATTCATATCTTTTAAATAATATTCTATCTTACTGATAGATATTTATAATAAATTAAATTTATATAGACACAAAGATCTAATAAGAAACCAACCCATTTATGGAACTGGGGATGGTTAAATTGAAATATTTTGGTTACCATGTTTTAATTACAAATTTTTATTATAAAACTCTGGCTTCAAATTTATAAGGGTCATTTGACAACCATTTTAGCTTATTTACTTTTTTAATTTTTTTATAATCTAGCGAACTCAAACCTTTATCTTGACTTTCAAATCTGTATTATATACTAGATTCCATGTCAATTGAGCAAAACATTTATTGCTAAACACTTTTTGGCGCAACTTTAACCATGTATGTCATAGCGAAACTTTTATCGCAAATCTAAGCGAATACATTATGTCTAATTTTTTATCAAGAAACCTTTAAAACGAATAAATTACAGCGAAGACTATTTCGCTGAAACATGTATCGCGAAAAATTATAGTGAATTTAATATCACTATGTTAATATTGCGATAATTATCAATAGTGACTATTTTATTTTGCAATATTTATTTTTATATTCATATTAATTGAATAATATTTTTAAATAAATAGGTAAAAGATTGTTTAAATGATATAGTTTTCAATTTCCATATAGCCTTATTAAATTTATATTATGAATATTGAACTATTTGGTTTATTAAATTTGTCATTGGAATAAATAAAATTTGCTGTCCTGCCCATTGCTTTTCCTCAAAGTCTTATTTTAAAATAGCTAGGTTTTATTAATTATTAATATAATTTCACTCAACCTTGTTCATTATTGGCAAAATGCGCCAATATTTATTGATGAAAGTACTTAATATTTATAAATTCATGAATCAGTTTTGCCAATCACCAACCATAAACGCGATTCAAAAATAAATAATATTTAAGTATAAGTGATTTCCCCAATTTAAAATATTTTCAATCTTATGATTTTGTGATCTTAAGAGATATTATTTTTATCTCTTCTATTTACTTAGATATAAAATATTAGTTCAAAAAATTTGATAGGAATAGACTAAGCATTTTATTAAAATACATATAGATTAGTACTACGGCATTTATTATTTTTTTCCCTTAATTACTCAGAATCAAAACTATTTAAATTAATTTTTACTGTTTTGCTAAGTAATTTTTTCTGAATTAAATTTATTAGAAAATATAATATATAGCTCAGAAATATTTACTATTTCTTTTATTTTTAAGTGCATAAGCATGATTTTTTGAGGTTTAAAATTATTAATTACTCTCTATCTTAAAAATTCTGGAAATTTAAAAAAAAATACTTAACAAAATCTACAATGATTTTTTAAGAGATCAGAAAAATAGCTTTCAGTATTTTTAATCTTGATTGGAAAAAATTCTAAGCATTTCACAATATTTTTTAAAATGTACCTTTAATGTCATAAAGCATATTTTTTAAATTCATGTTGGGAGTAGGGGGGGGGGGGGGGTGTAAATTTATTGTTATAAAAACTTGATTCAAAATGGCCCATCAGTAATTACAACCATGAGTGTGTGAGACCAGAAAGATATTGGCTAATATATTATCTATAACTTCAGATAAAGGTTGGCTCACTTAATAGACAATAATTAACAAAATATCCAAAATATATCTCGTTTATGATTTAAGGATTTTTGATGGGTAAATTGATATAGAATATGTTGTTTTTATTTTAATAAATGAATTCGCAATAAATTTACTCTTATGCATTAATGTGCTCTCCATAATGACTTCGCGCAAATATATTCGAGGTAAATTCGCTAAATGGTACACGATAAAAAATTTACTATAAGTTCCCTATAAATTTTTCGCTAAAATGTATTCGCACTAAAGTATCGGCAGTTACCCTAAATTCATAGTGGCGCAGCCGCGATAAATACAAAATACAGTAAATATCATAATCATATCGTATTTATAGTTAACGATCAAGCTAATCTCCGTGATATTTAAAAATACAAATTATTTTATATTTAATGCACGATTTTGAAATATTATTCATTAAATACTGCCTTTGGTGAATATATCACAAATTATTTTACATTTAAAGGTAATTTTAAATTATTTGAAATGAATTGAAAATTAATTGCTACATTTTTTGAAGATATAAAAAAAATAAATCAAGTTAAAATTATGATTTCAATTGTAATTTTTTATAGAAAGTTGCATTTATTTATTCTGTTAAAGAACGAATGTTACATAACAAGCATAATAACATATATAAAAACAAAATATGTGGTATATTAGCTCATGAGTATGGTATGTGAAGTTTTCTGAGAGATAAGTATAACGAGTTTAATTTAAGTAAACGAATTTAATTTTTTATTTTATTTCATTTATTTTAAAATTGAAGTTTCTGAGAATATAAGTATAACGAAACGAGTTAAATTTTATTTAATTTATTTTTAAAATTTTACTACTATCTAAAACTAAAATATCATGCTTATATAGCATGTTACATGTTACAAACAAAAAATCAATTTACATATTAATATAATAATTTATATAAAAAAATCAATTTTCACAATTTATAAATAAAAATCAATTTATATAAACACAAAAAAACAATTTTAAGGTTAGTATTAATCGGTCATATCAACAGTATGCATGGTAAAAATTGCGCATATATATATTATATTTGTATAACATTTTAGTATCTCTTAAATCTTGTTGGAAGAATTTAAGAAATTGTTTTACGAGAGAGCGGTTAAAACCTAGCATACTTAAAAGTAATCAGTGGACATCTCGGCCATAATATCAGGATACTTTTCTTGGTAACAGTAGCACCTAGGTTACAAAAGCCTTCATAAGATAAGGAAGGAGAATTTATACCAGTTGTAACAGAGGCGTTTAATGAAATAGCAAGGGAGATAAATGATTGTAAAATACCATCTTTTCTTTTACTAATATTAAGTTTGTTTAATCTACTCCCCTTCGATCATTTTATATAAAATTAATAATTTGACGGATACCATTTTATGAATTAATAAAATCGCTATGCACATGAATGAAAATCGCTGCGATCAGTTTAGCTGATCGGTCACTGCGATATCGCGACTAAATCGCGATCGCAATCGGGCTTCACTATGAATTCAAGGTTAAGATTATACGAAATAGATATGCGATAATGTGTTTGCGATTTGGTCTTCGATATAGAAGTTTCTCGAAAAGCGGAATTAGTTTCGGGATATTATCCTTGCTGTAAAATTTGTTCGTGATAAAGGATATTTGAGCTAAAACGTTCGCAAAAAAGTGTTTCCCGATAAAAATTTGACTGAATTGACCAGATACGATACTACGTTAATCTAATATTATTATGGTATAATAAAAGGTTTTTTAGTAAATACTATTTGCTAACATTGTAGCGAATTGAACATCCATAGTCAGGTTTGGTAATTAGTTTATTTTTCTTTTCAGTATTTTTAGAAAATTCGCATTTTCAATTATAGATATGCTTATAAATTTAATTTTGATATATTTTTCACGTGACAGATGATAATAGTAGTTGTTAAAAAGCCCGATTAGGGTTGATTTTTAAAAACGGCCCGATTAAGATTATAACCAAAATAATATTGTGTAAGCCTGGTTATTTTGCTCATAAATGGCAGAGGTTTGGGCCTTTACTTGCAAAATATTAAAGCTTACACAATCTTATTTTGGATAAAATCTTAATCGGGTTGTTTTTAAAACGGCTCAAAAGGGCTTTTTAACACCACCAAATAATATTTCATTCATTCATGGCTTGCATATGTTTAAATTTTTTAAAAAACATAGAACGAAAATTATCGCATTGGGTCTTATATCAGGTTACTGCATTATATTTTATATATAATAATATAGATATCATTAAAAAAAACAAAATATAAATTAATTTTAATGAATCAAGTGACTTTATCTGTATATTCTTTTTTAGTTTAAAAAAATATAGAATATATTATACAATAATATTTTGGCACATAAGAACATAATATTGAGCAATACAACAATGAACCACAGAAGAATTAATTTATTAAAAATGCAAAGTGGAATATTTTAATCCATAAGATGAAATATAATTTTTTCAGGATTATTTCTTTGTATATTATTAAACTTTATTATTTAACTACTTTCTTCTACTAATCTATACCTTAATAAAATTGTTCCTGTATGCAGTAAATGTAGAGCCCTAAATTAACTGATCCAAGTCTAATCTGACTTAACTGTGGTCCATAAATCAAGAGACATTCTCTTAGACTCAGATAGATCACGCTTTGTAAAATTTAAATAATTTTGTTTTCTTAATGTTTTTATATATTATTTTTTCAAGAATAGCTCTAACTATATTTTCTTATGCGCTTATTATTTTTTTGCTTTTGTTATAATATACTTTTATAAAAGTTCAAAAAATAAAAATTAAATAAGATTAACTTTGACCTATTTCCAAGATTAAATTTTTGATTGGATTTGGATCTTTAAAAATAATGCTCAGATTGGATGTGCCACACAAAATTATATTGGTCCAATGCAAGGCTCTTATATTTAGTGTTTAGTTTTATCAATTTGAATTATATTATATCAATATTATAATTTTTGAATGTTATAAAAAACATATTAAGGTATTGGAGGGGCTATATCAACTTATATAGCATCAGGTAGCCAGAATTTTGAAGATCATGATGGGCCAACTGACAAAAATAAAGTGTTTATAATGTACCAACAACAATTTCTTAAACAATGTAATATTGACTTTTCATTTCTTTGTATTCTTATTTTAATAAAATTTAAGATGATTTATTTATGACAAAATTTGAAATCTCTATGCAGAAAAATTGGAATGTTGACAAAATTATCAACAATATAGCAAGCAAGTAATATAATAATTAGTATTGGTTTAACCCTTCATTATAAATGGCTTGGCCAGGTTTTTAGCCAAAAAAATCAAAATTTGCCTTGTGAAAACCTAAGATTAAGCTATTTTAAGCCATGAATTTTAATATTAGCAAATGGAGGGTTTTATAATTTCAAAATTTGTTTATTTTTCTTGAATATTAAATTAATAATTAGTGTTTCACAGCTCAAACAAAAATCTAATTCTTCAAAGATTTTTTAAGATAAAACAAATTTAGAATTTTGAGAATGTTCTGCAGTTAAATTCAAATGCTCATTTTAGATGTTAAATCCTTTATTATATATATCTAAAAATGCCCTGTTTTCAGCCTTAAAATATCCTATAAAGCCATTTACAAACAATGTGTTTTATCTCTAGATTTCCTAGGCCATTTGTTTGCATTTTTTGAAATTTCCAAACAACATTCAATAATAATTTGCCTGCGGTTTGTTTTTATACTATGATATTTCAAAAAATCTTATATTCATTTTTATTAACGATTACATGGCGTCTAATTTATATTATAACTGTGGCGATATTTTTCCCATATTAAAATTAATGGTTATAAATATGCATATCTCTGAATTGTCGCAAGATAAGCCATATAACTTATCAAACAAAAATATTTTAAAGAAAAGTCAGTACTGGCAGGAAAATAAGCCTATATTGTTGATCGGTTTTTAACAATTTTTGCCGATCTGATTCCGAATAAATTCTTGATCGGCCAATTCTGATGCCTCCTTATAATAATTTTGTTTTCTAGCAAGTTTTAATGTTATATCGAAATTCCAAGATGTTTAAGAATTTAAAATTAGCTGCCAATTTCGTGCTAATTCTAAGATACATTTATGAAAAGGCCATTTTAATATCGGCAGCCCTAGTTTATATTATGCAAAATTGTTGAAAAAATGATGTTACTTGTAAGTTTAAAAAAACTGCTGGAACGAGCATATGAAATCGTTTGAAAAAACGTCTTATTTAATGGTAGAATAATAATTAGTTATATGATGGTTGTGTCTAACACTAAATTTAGTCTAAATTTTAATTAAAAGAGATATTATGGTGTAAGATGAAATTAGATTGACGAAGATGAATTCAGATAAAGGGAGAGGAGTCGTGGTTAGGATAGATGAAGATGATATTAAAGTATAGATTGTATGGAAATTATCAATGGAATATAATGACCTCAGTATTAATGTAAATTATAATATCTATAAGAAGGTTAATATTTAGGTAAAAATGGGTAGTATAGAATTTTTGAGTAGTAAATAACTACATTTTGTTTACGTCGATCTTTCATTGATTTTCTAGTGCTCGATAGAACTCTTTATAGTGTAGAGAATGAGGCATCATTTTTTTATACATAATATTTACGATACAATTATGTGTTTCTTTAACTTCCGCAGCTAATAATCCTTTTGCCATTCCTTTTCATGATGTAACGTTTCACATTTAATTTAATAATAATTCTAATGGGGTCTTTTATCTGATATAAAATAATAAAGGTTAAAGGGGGATAATGTATTAAACATGATAGAAGATTATAATCATCTTGTGAAAATCTATCTAAATTTACAATAATTTAAAGAATTCCAATTGAAGTTCTTTTCACAATCAAATTGCAATTTGATATCGCTTAAAAAATCTTTAAGATTTCTAAGCGAAGTACCCTTGATAATTTTTGAGGGATGAGATTCAATATTGACATAAGTTTTTCAGCCATAATTCATATCAATCAAAAGAATTATCACTTTTTTTTATTTTTTAATAGATTAATTGAATTAATGCAAATTTTAGCATCCACTCTATTAGTAATTACTGAATGTAGATACTTATTTAGTGGATCTATTGTTATTCATAAATTATAATGGCATATATAAATGTAATTTATATTAATGCATTGAGATAAAGGACCAGAGACTTCGACTGAATCATGAGATGATACCTCTGAGTTAAAAGTTCTATTAGAAGAGTAAACTAATACTTCGTCAATAGCCTCAAAATTCTCATAAATAATCTAGATGTTTCTAAATGATCAGTCAACCTCTAGTCTAGAAGTCTTTTAGAGTACAGCCTGCATATTTACAGGATACATTAAAATGCCTGGAAAAATTATACAATGCATCTTCATTAGATAAATTCAAAAATATACAATATTATTATACCAAGACACATTTTTTATAATTTTTTTTAAAGCAGAGTTTGTACTTTCCTTCGACTAGACATTACGATTGCACCATCATATGCCTGGCTTATTATATTCGATAAATTAATATTTAATTCATTAAGTTGCTTTAAAATACATTTAATAATGCTTTTAGCAGAAAGACATTGCAAATTAATGATTATTATTCCTTAAATTTTACAAAAAATATGACGAATAATTATGCTCAGGTTTAATCTGATGCATCTTTTGTCTCATCAGCCTTAGGACAAAAAAAAGGCATCTCACTTTTGTTATATTTTTCTGAGATATTCCAGCACCATATCTGATATAGATTATACTTCATTTTTAATTTGATGTATATTGTGCATTTTGGATATTCATTTCATAATTATATTTAATTCAGGATCTTTTTGGATGGTGTATGAGAACATTATAAATTGTCCAGAAGAATAAAATGTTTTCATTTTTTGCTCCTTAAATTTCGTTGAATTGGCTCCATAAAAAGGTAGCTCCTGTCCTGTATGCTAAGAAGTAGCATAAAATAAAATATTTATTTAAGATAATAACTATTATGGTTAATTTGCTGGCTTACCATAATTGTTGTTATCTAACTGTCTTTATTTATATTAACATTTTTATCATGCCATATTGTTATTGAATTTAAATGAGCTTAGGGCTTTCATTGTCCCTTCTTTACAACTAACGCATTTTTCCAATAACTGAATCCCTTTTGTCCAAATTCATCACTTGAGTGACTAATGAGTGAATTTATATTTTATAACGAATATTTTTGTAGGTACGTTCTTGTTTATTGTATAAATTAAATAATATTTGTCTATGTTATATATCAATAACGGTGGTGTTGTATGGACAAGAAAAAATGTTTTATTTATTATAAATTTATCTAAAACTAAAAATGATACTAAAAATAAATATAAAATAAGGTATATATATGTATTATAAAAAAACAATTTAAACGAAATGCATAGTTAAAGGCTATAAAAACAATTTAAGTTAAACAAATTAAAAAAATCAATCTCGATTAACATTCCCCTTCTTCTGAAAAACCTTCCCATAATCCATCTGAGCTGTCATAGAAAATATGTCGTTCAAATGGTTGTTCATTTTGATTGTTCAAGGAGTTCATAAGTCATAAAGTCGTTGGCTTGATTCTATCACGTTGGTTTGTTAAAATCGTCTCGAGTACGCTGGCTCGTCGTCAAGCTCCGTCGTTATCATTATCAATTTTACAAAATTGTTATTATCATAGGATGTTGGAATATATGAATAATCAGAAAATTGATCAAATTTGGATGTTAGAATAATAAAAGGATGATAAATCAACAAGATTGTTAGATGATATTTTTATCGTTTTTATTTTTTATATTTTTGCGTTTTCCAATTTATTTTTTCGTGTTTTAGTATTTAATTTAATTTTTCGTGTTTTAGTATTTAATTTATTTTTACATGTTTTAATATTTTAAGTTATATAATCTTTTAGATAAACAGGTTTTTATCTACTTCGTATCGGTCTGGAAGTCGGTATTACAATATTTTTATCATTAGTTTTAATATTTTTGTCCTCACTTCCGTCCTTCTTAGGTGTTATAGCATTCTCTCTTTCTTAATTGGTCCAGGTGTTTCCTTGTAATACATTTTTCTGTATAGACTTGGAACATAGTGTCACTTTCCTTCAAATTAATTGTCCCTTTGTCTCATGTATCATTTCCTTGTACTTTATACCAAACAAAATGTCCTATATTAATCTATTTCGTGGTAAAGTAATGTTTATTTTATTCTCCTTCTCCTCCAACGGTCTCAATAAGTCCCATATAACTCTAATATCACGGTTGAACATTCTCTTAGACGGTGTAACTCCTGTAGTGTCATTACGCGTAGCCCCCAGACCCCATTTTAAGTGGGCCATAAAAAATTGTCAAGTGCGATGTTTAAGACAATTTTGATATTCCTTTTCATGTGTTTTGAACGTTCTTACCATGCGTTCTACCTGGCCATTGGATTGCTGGTGATAAGCAGATGTGAGCACATGTTTGATACCATAATCACTGCAAAATTTTTCAAAATCACTACTTGTGAAGTTAGTGCCGTTATCGGTAACTATAGTTTCGGGTATTCCATATAGCGAAATAGTTTTAAAAATTTCTATTAAAGTAACATCGGTAGTAATATTTTTTAATAGGAACAATGATTGGAAACTTACTGTAAGCATCGACTATTGTCAACCAATTTCTTGTGAAGAACGTTTCAAATGGTTTGGTTGCCGAAACCCATTGGTTTTTGTATCTTTTTAGGATTATCATGATATATGTTACAATCGTCGCAACTTTTCACTTCCATATCTGTCATTATTTATACCAGACCACCACATGTAATCTTTGGCTAAGGATTTGATTCTTCCTGCTCCCAAGTGACCTTCATATAATGATTGTATTGATAGGTAAATCCCCATAGTCATTTATTATAGTGATATTTTCAACAACTTCATCATGACATTCTTGTGGCAATCTCTAGAGGCAGTCAGGAACAACATTGTATTTACCTGCTTTATACTTTATGTTGAAGTCGTAACCCCCCAAAGTGATATTCCACTTTTGTAACCTTAAGTACATGGTACTATTGTCCTTGAGTACCTTGGTAAAAATGTGGACTAGTGGTTTATGGTCCGTGATGATAGTAAATTTAGTCCCAACCAAATATTCTTGAAATATTTTAATTGCGAACATTATGGCAAGAGCCTCACGCTCAATATTAGTGTAATTTATTTCGGATTTTGCTAAGGTTCTAGACGCAAAAGCAATAGGTTTTTCTTTGCCATCTTTCTCTGTGTGAAATAGTACAGCCCCTAATCCAGATTTGGATGCATCAGTCGCAATCCCAATAGGTAATTCTGGATTAAAATACGTCAGTGCTGGCGGGAGACTAATCAACTTCTTTAAATCATTAAAACTTCTGGAATGTTCTAAGTTCCACTCCCATCTTTCTTTGTTGACCATTTTGTACAACGGATCAGCAATATCAGAGAAGTTAATAAAAAATTTCTATAATAACCAGCCATTCACAGAAATGTGTTCTGGCATATTAATTATTGCTTCAATTTTATCATGGTTATCATGAATCCCCTTGTCATCTATATCGTGACCCAGGAACCTAACTTTGTTTTTGAAAAATAAACTTTTGGCGAAGTTAGGTACTAACCCGTACGATAATATTTTCTTAAACACCTTTTAGATGTTGTTTAAATGTGCTTCATCGTTATTTCCAGTTATTAATAAGTCATCAATATAAAATATAACATCTTTCATATCACCGAAAATTTGATCCATGATTTGTTGCAATATAGCAGATGAAGTTTTCAACCCAAAAGGAGTCTGGTAAATTGGTAGTATCCCTTATGTGTGGATATAGTCAAAAATTTTCTGCTATTTTTGTCGATCGGAACTTGTAGAAAAGCATTTTTGAAATCTATTTTGGTTAAAAAAAATTTCCTTCTGAAAGTTTAGCTATAAGATCATTTATACGTGGAAGTGGGTATCTAAAGTCTTCGAGAGCTCGGTTTATAGTGTCTTTAATATCTGCGCAAAGCCTGATGCTCCCATCATCTTTGTATACGGCGGTTATAGGACTCGCCCATCGCACATCATTTACAGGCTCAATAATTTTTTCATGTATCCATCTATTCAGTTCTTCGCCCACAAGATCAATCTTTGAATACGCTATACATCTTGGTGGTATTATTTTAGGTTGGGCGTCACATCTTAAATGTAATTTGACATTTACTTTGTTAATTGGTTCGCTAGTCAATTTGGATTCACAATCTTTAATAAGTTGATTGATTTCATCTTCATAATTGGTGTCGACATTTCCTATGAATTTATTTAAAATATTTTTAAAGGCATTGATCCAGATTCTTCTTAATAACGCGTTCTTTCTCGACTCTACAACTACTGCTAGTAAATATTTAGTGATTCCTTCATAACTTACTTTAACTTGAGTTGTCCCGATGATTTTAATCAAGTTTCCGTCGTAGGCTGTAAGCCGCAAACTGGATTTCTTCATTTCTCTTATACCAATTTTTTTAGCCATATCATGAGGTATGATGGTATAATTTGTTCCAGTGTCAACCTGCATAGTTAGTAACATTATTTAATTTCAAAGTAGTCATAAAAGCCTGTCATCACCTTTGTCTGTATTTTCAGCCAGGTTGTTGACATTGAAATCATTCTCATAATTGTCTTTGGCAGTGCCAACTATATTTTCCCCAACTTCTTCAATGTTCATATTACAATTATTGCTATCGTAGAAGTTTTGATTATCATACTGGATTTGTTTTCTTTGATTAAAATCTTTCCACCGATTACGATCGTCATATTCGATTTGTTTTCCTTGGTTATCATTATTATGCCACCTGTTGTTTCCTTCATAATTATTTGAACTGTTATTATAAGATCGGTAATTATTATGATTTTGATCGTCACATTAAATCTGTCTCCTCTGATTATAATTAAACCAGGCGTTGTTCCTACCATAGTTGTTGTTATAAGATTGATAATTATTATTATGAAAGTTTCGGTTGCTATTGTTATACCGATAATTGTAATTTTGATAGTTACTATCATTATACTGATTATTTCTATAGTTATTATTATTATAATTGTTATTGTTTCTAACGTTACTAAAATTCCTATTCCTGTTGTCGTTAACATTACTAAAATTGTTATCACCATAATTTCTATTCTTACTGTCAAAATTTTGCCTCGAATAATAATTAGGTCTATTATAGTTACTATTAATCTCACTCCTATTAGAAGTGGATGTCTAAATTCTTATCATTATTTCTATTATTGTCATTATTTTTATTAAATTTTTTATCCCTACTAAAAACATGATTAACATTGTCACTTTCTGATTTAATGATAATACTATCTAATTTTCTTCCTATTTCAATCATTTCGTCTAATGTATAGTTAATATTTTTATTAAATTTATTTTTTATATTGTCATTTAAACTAGATGTTCTCAATTTTTCTTTTATGCGATCATAATTAATAAAATTACATTGTCTACTTAACTTAGACAGTCTAAAAAATCAATCTAAAAAAGATTCATTAACACCTTGTGAAGCAAGGTTAAACTTCCCAGTCAATATCCAAGCATCTTGACTGGGTAATAAAAATTTTAATTTTTTAATAATAATTTTATAATCTTTGATATCTTCCTTAGTACATATGACTTAATTTTATCGTATAGATTATCAGATAAATTGGTCATCAATGTTTCAATTTTTACTGAGTCAAAAATTGTTTGAGAGAAATAATCGTCAAGTCTCACCGAATAAGTGTCCGTCAAGCATCCCTCCAATTTTGGGAACTTATCTTCCCTGTTGGAGGATATGCTAATTTTATCATCCATAATGCAAATTTTTATTTTAAAAACTTTATTTAAATTAGCATAGAGATATATATTGTCACTATAAAGTCATATAATTATTCTTTTTTTTCCAAATTGCAAATTTTTATTTTAAAACTTTATTTACATGTAAAGATATATAATGTTGTTGTAAAGTCATATAAAAATTTTTTTTTTACTTTGTGTGTGTCTTTTATATCGAATAATTTTTATAATTTATTACATAATTCCAAAAAATTTATTTTAATTTTTTATATTTATCGGCATATGCACAATATATATGAGATTTTTTTATATATCATTGTGCGTGAATTACCATACAAAGCGGGGCACCATGTTATATATCAATAACGGTGGTGTTTTATGGACAAGAAATTTTTTTTATTTATTATAAATTTAACTAAATATGATACTAAAAATAAATAAGGTATATATGTGTATTATAAAAAAACAATTTAAACGAAATACATAGTTAAAGGCTATAAAAACAATTTAAGTTAAACAAATTTAAAAAATCAATCTCGATTAACAGTCTAAAAATTTTATTATATTTTTATTTAGAATTAATTGTTAATATTATTTAAATATTAATAACGAATATATTATTTTTTAAATTTAGGGGCCGGAAAAATTTTGGCGGCATTTTTGAGGACCAAAAATTTTAAGGGTCCTGCCTCCCCCCCCACATGGCTACAGCTATGATTGTGCTTAATTAAAATTTAAAATAAACATCACTGTTTTGGTTTTAGAAAAGTTTTCAGGGTATATATTATTCAAGTTTGGATTCTCTATTTTTTTTTTATCAATTGTAAATTTTTAACTTTTCATAATTATAATTTATTTTTTGAAAATAGTCCACCAAATAAAATGGAACTTTGGGAACATCTCAAGATCACAAGTAACTTTAAAATTTATGATCGAATTTGTTTTATAAATATGCATTTAGTTATCCTACGCTTGATTCATCAAATACATTGTTATGCACTAGCCTCATTAATATTATCCGTACAACACACTATCATGGCCTCTATACACTACGTTTATAACTACTCCTACAAAACGCAAAATTTTTTCGAAGTGAATACCATTAAATTGATATATATTCATTTTCTACATTTTTTTTGATGCATATAAAGGTTTTAGAAACAACTTATACAAACAAATCGGTAGAAATGATGATAAAATTATTTAAAGACATTTACGCAGAACCTTTCGAGGAACAAATTAGGAAGCACTTTGACAGGTATAATAATCATTAAATCAATAATTATCGTGTAAGACTTTAGCACCTTTTAAAAAAATCATTCATTCCTATAGTTTGTCTTTGAAAGATCCATTTAATCCAGCCAAATTCGACTTAGTCACGAAATCCGCACTAAAAGATTGCCAAAATTTGGTCGGAGCCACTCTTTTTGAAAATGCATATATTGCCAATTTGGGAACTTTGTTAACGAATATAATCGATGATCACTCTCTCTTAGAGCTTTGCATAAATAGTAATAATAAAAATACAACTCATATTTTACTATGGGCCTATTTAAAAACGAATATATGAATTATATACTATTCAATTGTTTATTCCTATGAATCGAATCGATATTATGTATATTAAAACAATCAATGAACAAAATCGATACTACTCTTATTTTAACAAATAGAATAGAATCATACCATTTTTTAAAAACAATTTTTTTTTTCAAAATAAAAGGCCAAAACTCAACGAAAAATATTAGCAATCTTTTTGATACTTACGTCTCCGCCCTCAATATTGAGAGCATCGCCAGCTCAAATTACTATTCAATTTTCGTCGATATCTTAGTACCACAGGCGAGGGATTATTTGTGCAATAAAATAGGCGCGAATTATTCCGAAAGGGTAATTTCATAAAAACATACATTTTATAAATTATATATGCTTTTAGCATAAACTAGTCTTTAATCACAATGTTGTCTTGACATCCGAAATTTTACCCACCCAAATGTTTCTCTACCTGAACGAGTAATAACTACATAATTAAACTTAATTATCATAATTTTAAAACTATATTTAAATCTTATTTTTGATAGTAAAAATTTGAAAAATTTACTCCTATACTGGAGTGAGGAATGCTCAAATATCTACACTCAAATGCTTGTTATCCATCATTGGCCAAAGTTTAAATCAAATGTTCAATGTACATCGCAGAAAGACAAATCTAATACAAGAAGTGAATCGGAAGATATTACGGAATCTGGGCAAAAGCAATTTGGGTGATTTTTAAAAAAAATATTTGATAATTTTGAAAGAAAGTAACAATTCAATTTAAAGCAAAATGGTAGCGTCATTATATTCAGATTTTATTAAATGTTTATTTAAAATATACAATTATACCTAAAAATAATCCAAATATAGATCAACATTCATTTTTTTGTAAAATTTACTTACATTAAATATTTTATAAAAACAGCAAGGAATATCTACACAGCTCAATTTATAAAACCATTCCATTTGCGTCCTTATTTCCAATGTTAGAAAATTTTACGAATGCTGAAACGCGAAAATTTTACGAGGAGATTAAAGAAGTAATATATTTTGCACCTTATTACAATAATAATCATATAAGTAGATTAGTATCGTCTGCTAGTTAAATTTAATCGGAACATGGGCATGAACTAAGCATGTTTTTAAACATAAAAAAAATTGACTTTAAAAACCTAAATAATTAGAGCTATATAGATATTTTATTTTAATTAATTAATTTTAGACATTTTCAATGCACCTGAATACTCATGCATTTTTATGGGAGCTTTATGAAAACACTATACACAAATTGGAATCAATCACCAAAAATTGATTACATATATATTATTAAAATCTAGTCACCCTGTTCGCGACAATTAATAGTAAATGGTATTATAAACAAGTATATTTTTTATAAAAATGTGATTTATTTTGCATAAAATCAGTTGTTGTTTTTAAAATATGTTATAAAAATACTGAATGAAACTTGTAATATTCTTACATTTTATTTATCTAACTAGTTTAAGTAAAAGTAAATTAACCTAAAATTTCATATATAGAAAGAAGAGAAGGTTAAATTGCTAATTCTCCTTTCAGGATGTAACTGCCGCCACAACCAAAAAATATATTATTACCAATCAAAATACTCAATTTACTGGAAAGTCTATTAACCCTTCAATACTCCGGTGGGATATATGAAACCCCAGGCTTGCAAGAATTGATATTACATAAAAACGGTTTATTATTATGATCTGGAATCTTCACTAGCTTCATCAAATATATCTTAGAATCTAAATTCCAAATTTCATATATTTTGGCTTAATAGTATTTAAGATATAAATATTTTGTGACTGATTGGGGTTTGTGAGACCCCACCAGAGTAAATACGTAAATTTTTTGAAATTTTTATAATTATCTCATTTTTCAAATTATTTTTATCATTTATTATGATTTTCACATATTCTGAAAGTAAATATAATAAAATTTATTTAAAATGTAATATCATTTTTCATGTATTTGAGTTGGATTGAAAAAAATAACATTATTATCATATCCAAAGAAAAAAGGATGTCATAATGCTATTAACTTTCCACCATAATAAAAATGTTGATTCAAATGATACAAGAAATCCTGAAATTATAATATTTTATAATATGGCTAAAGGTAGGTTAGAAATGGTGTATTGAAGACAAAAAATGATACAATTTTAAGCATCAATTCACATCATTTAGCAAACACAAAAATATCCACTTACAAGAAGTAATTTTATATATAAAATATCAATGGAACTTATTAAACCATATTTAGAAGTACAACAAAAATTATCAGATTGTCCTTACTTTTGAAGGAATCTATATGCAATATAAGTTCATAATATAAATCTTATCGACTCAAGGGTGCAGTATGTGTCCTAGCAGTAAAGATGAGAAAACTAAATATTTTTGTCAAATATGGGGAAAAAATTATGTTTGAGCATATTAATGCTTTATGTGATAAGTCAAAATTAACATATTTCAATGTCCTATATTTTTTTTATTTTTGCTGTATTATTGTAAATCTTGTTTTATATTGAAGAATAAATATCAACATAATGAATTATAATGATGATATAATAAATAAATTATTTTTTCAATTTAATATTTAAAATTTAATAAGTAAACTTTTTTTAGAAAATTTTGGCACAAATTATAATTATCCTCATTATTTTTAATATAAGTATAATAAATTCAAGTTTGAAGTTTGTTCTATCTTATATCCATATATTAAATACAAAAGGAGTTATATACATTTGAAATTGGGGTCTATTAAACCCCACCAGAGTACTAACGTCATTTTTTTCTCGGAGTATTGAAGGGTTAAAACACTGATTTTTTTTATATTTAAAGGCATTTTTATAACACTTGATACCAAATTTTATTATATATACTGGTAGGTAAAGATAAAAATAAATACTAGCAATTTTGTTATTACACTGATAAAATATTTTTTTAATTACTGAAGAAATAAAAAACAGCCTCTTTACAATCTTATAAAACCTGCCTTCAAATGCTCTTGATCGACAAAAAAAATATCTTTTGACAAAAATAATGTACCACCATCACCTTTTTTAATTTTGAAATATAATTTTATGATAATTGACACAAAATATTAATTTTCACATAATAACGACAGTTTTCAAGGCTGATAAAACCTATTAAAATATTTAATGGTGAAGTAGTTTAATCAATCTTTTTTGCCACTTATATCTCTCGGTTCATATTTAACATTTGAAAGGCCTTCTTTATGCATGTGAAATAACAATTTATTTTCCAACTCTTCCAATGCGGATCTAGTGAAAACAATGCCTTCATATTTTAGCATCATCAAAATATTTAATCCTTATGTTTAAAAAAAAAATAAAATATAAAAATTAATTAGAATTACCATATACAGGTAATAAATTAAATTGAGGAATATTATGGCAGGCATAGGCAATATTTTTGGGCATGTAATCGGTACTATAGGTAAAAAAAAATTATATACACTTTTTTAAATTTACTTGTCAACGAATAAAACGGAAAGACCCCAATCTCTCTCATCAATCACTTTTTGCAAAAACTAATTAGGCATAATAAATCATTTGTAATAAAAAATAATTGCATCAATAAAATCATTTTAATTTACGTCAGGATCATCCGTGGGTATCTCTAAATCGTCCACAATATGTATGTCGTCCTATTATAAAGTTTATAGATTTACAAAATTTATTTATTTTTTGGGTAACAAAATATTTTTAAAAAATTTCTACTTCCAAATTGGTAATATGAAAATAATTTCAAAAAAAATTACGTAAGAGATAAGGTTTAAAGCTGTATCTTCTTTATATATTTTTGCAGTTTGAAAAAAAAATCAAAAATTTTTCATTTCACCTTGTAAGATTTTTTATGCATATAAGTTACTAAAGATTTTGAAGATAAATTTGATTAAAAATCTGTTCTTCAAATAAATATTTGTTCAATTTTTTTTACAAACGAATTTTTTGATATTAAGCTTTGACATTTTTAATTGATTTCTAAAATAGAACTATCTAAAAATCTTTTAAACTTAAATATGGAATGTACAAATTATCTTTAAAAAATATTTATGAAAAACTTGAGCAAATTTAACAGTCAATGTACTACAAAGACCCTTGAGTCTTTTTCCAAAATCTTCCATTCTAAAATATGATTTTGGAGCTCTTGGACCATGTGCTGTTCCCCCTATAAATTTTTAACGATAAAAAAAACTATTATAGCATAATAAAACAATCATTTAATAATATTTGTCATTTTTTAAATATATAATTTTGTAGTTCCATGTCAATTCAGAGAAACAATATTTCGCAAATTCACATTACCGATTATTATTCCGCGAAGACAATATCGCGATTTTTTTTATAGCGAAACTCATATCGCCAAACATAAAGCGAATATATTACAGCGAAACTTTTAACATGAATCAATAAAAGCGAAGTTATTACAGTAAAACCAAAATAGCGGACAATAGAGCAAAAAATATTTCGCTAAACATATCGTGAAAATATTATAGCGAATTTATATCACGAGGTTAATATTGCGATAATTGCCAATAGTGACTATTTTATTTTGAAATATTTATTTTTATGATAATATTTTTAAAAATGGTACAAGATTGATTCAATGATAAATTTTTAATTTTCTTTTAGCCTTAATAAATTTTAATGATTAATGAACTATTTGGTTTATAAAAGTTATTTGGAATAAAAAATTTTTGCTCCTGCCTCATGCTTTTCTTCCAAGACTTATTTTATAATAGGGCATAAGAAACCTAACCTAGGTTTTATTAATATATTAATCATTGAGTTCATTAGTAACTTTGATCCTTATTGGCAAATTGATATCTAGGTTTGGGCCAATATTTATTCTCTAAAGTACTTAATATTTATAAATTCATCAATAAGAGTCACTAATCAAAAACAGAGTTATAAGGTTGTCTTGATCGAATTTTGAATGGCGATTCATAAATAAATTATATTTAAGTATAAGAGATTTCCCTAATTTAAAATATTTTTAATCTTATAAATTTACGATCTTTATAGATATTTTTTTATCATTTCTGTTTTCTTTATAAAATAATAGTGCAAAAATATTGAATCTAATGAAGTTTGCTAAATTTTGGCAAGCATTAATTCTGAAGCTTAAGACATGCTTAATTACAATACACTTATAATAGCATTATAGCATTATGTATTAATAACTAGGAAAATTTAATAAAAAATTACTTAGCAAAATCATCTATGATTTTTAAAAATAATCTGCGATCAGCAAAAATTATTAGCTCTTAGTATTTTTTTAACTTGACTGAAAAAATTTCTAAGTATTTAAGAATATTTGTTAAAATTTACTTTTAATGACATAAAGCACATTTTTAAAATTTACGTTGGGGAGGGGTAAATTTATTAGGGTAAAACTTGAATCAAAATGTTCCCTCCATAATTTTAACCATAAGTGAGAGAGACCAGAAAGAAATTGGCATTTATTTCTATCACATCAGATAAAGGTTGCTTACTTAATAGACAATAATTAACAAAATATCCTTAAAACATTTTGCGTTTATGATTTAAAGAAACTTTGGAGGGTAAATTAATATTGAATATATTGCTTTCCCTTAAATAAATATATTCGCAAGATATTTACTGTTTCACGATAATGACTTTGCGCAAATAGCTATAAAGAGTTCGCGATAAAAGCTTAGCTAAAATATATTGGCGGAAAAAATATTTTCTTCTCTGAAAATGTTTCGCGGAAAAAAATTCGCAGAATTGGTTTGGCAATATCTATAAAATTTGTATGCGAAAAATATTCTGAATTGATCTGATACGAATTTTAAATTTTTTTATTTATTTAGCCCTTAGCCTACCATTATAACATCTATTAACAAAGGTCTCCAATAGACTTTTTATTTTTAAAATTTCATATTAATGTATAATATTTATCTGTAAATAATAATAAAAAACGAGAAACTTTTACAACGTAAAAGTATCCAATGTTTAATACCTTTGTAAATGTTTTGTTAATTTCAAATTGTTTTTTATCTTTTTTATATGGGTAAATAAACCTTTTTATGATGGGGTTTTTAGGCGTTACTAATACTTTTTTTCGGAAGATATTTCTGATACCCAGTTTCTAAAATTTCTTATGCTAAGTTTTTAATAAATAAAATTTTTGACAATGTTCTCTATGAAATTTTTGGGCAAAATGGTTAATAGTCCATAATTATTTTGTTTTTAAAAAGATACAAAATGATAAAGGTTTATAAAATTAAATTAAAATGGCAAAAGGCAGATCCCTGTGTGTTGCTCCTAAATTTGTAGGCCTTCAAAGAATTAAAATAATTCAGATTAGGCTCAATCCTAAAAATTTGTATATAAAAAAATGGGCCAAGCTCAGCTTGAAACATTCTATAAAATATGATATTAATAGACATTACTATTTCCCTAAAAAAGAAATGCTATTAATAATGGTAATACTTTTAGCATATTTAGGCATTAAATAACATTATATAGTAACAAGTAGATCATATATATCTTTTTGTAGTAAAAGTCATAGGTAGTGTTGTTAATCGGCTTAGCCGAGTCGGCTCGAACAGAGCTCACCCAAATTTTGGGTCGTTTTTTTCGACTCCAACTCAAAGTTTTGGTCGTTTTTTACGACTTCGACCAGAGTTCAAGCCGAAAAAAACGACTTCGACCCAAAATATGGGTCGTTTTTTTCGACTCCGACCCAAGTCCAAGCCGAAAAAAACGACCTCGACCCAAAATATGGGTCGTTTTTTACGACTCCGACTCAAAATTTGGGTCGTATTTTTCGACTTAAACTTGAAGTTTGGGTCATATTTTTCGACTCAAACTTGAAGTTTGGGTTGTTTTTTTCGACTAAAACATGAAGTTTGGGTCGTATTTTTTGACTCAAACTTGAAGTTTGGGTCGTATTTTTTGACTCAAACTTGAAGTTTGGGTCGTATTTTTTGACTCAAACTTGAAGTTTGGGTCGTATTTTTCGACTCCAACTCAAAGTTTGGGTCGTTTTTCTGACTCAGACTCAAACATCGGGTCGTTTTATTCAATCCGACCCAAAATATGGATCTTTTTTTTTAAAGACGACTTAAAGTTAGGGTTGCTTTTTTTCACCCCTAACCCAATTATCTAGATCATTTTTTTCGACCAAAAGTCAAATAACATTTAGTATATATTAATATTATAGGCGGGAAAGTTACTTAAAGCTTCTTTAAATTATAATGCTCTGATTAACTATTCATCATAGTTATATTTTAAAATTTTTAATTGATGTACCATAGAAAAGTGCCATTTGTCATGATAATTATTTTTGAACTTTTTTAAATGAAATAGATAAAAATATATATTGTAGACATGTTAAATCAAAATTTCAGTGATGATGTACCATAGATAAGTGGTAATTGTCATAATCGCTATTTTTGAACTTTTTTGAGTTTTTTTAAAGCAAATTGCTAAAAATATATATTCTAAACATGTTAAATTAAAAATTCAGTGAGGATGTATCATAGATAGGTGACAATTGTCATAATCGCTATTTTTGAACTTTTTTCAATTTTTTTAAAGGAAATAGCAAAAAATATATATTCTAACCATGTTAAATTAAAAATTCAGTGAGGATGTATCATAGATATGTGACAATTGTCATAATCGCTATTTTTGAACTTTTTCAAATTTTTTTAAAGGAAACATCTTAAAATATATATTCTAAACATGTTAAATTTAAAATTCAGTGAGGATGTATCATATATAGGTGACAATTGTCATAATCGCTATTTTTGAACTTTTTCAAATTTTTTTAAAGGAAATATCTAAAAATATATATTCTAAACATGTTAAATTAAAAATTCAGTGAGGATGTATCATAGATAGGTGACAATTGTCATAATCGCTATTTTTGAACTTTTTCAAATTTTTTTAAAGGAAATAGCTAAAAATATATATTCTAAACATGTTAAATTAAAATTTCAGTGAGGATGTATCATAGATAGGTGACAATTGTCATAATCGCTATTTTTAAACTTTTTCAAATTTTTTTAAAGGAAACATCTTAAAATATATATTCTAAACATGTTAAATTTAAAATTCAGTGAGGATGTATCATATATAGGTGACAATTGTCATAATCGCTATTTTTGAACTTTTTCAAATTTTTTAAAGGAAATATCTAAAAATATATATTCTAAATATGTTAAATTAAAAATTCAGTGAGGATGTATCATAGAGAGGTGACAATTGTCATAATCGCTATTTTTGAACTTTTTCAAATTTTTTTAAAGGAAATAGCTAAAAATATATATTCTAAACATGTTAAATTAAAATTTCAGTGAGGATGTATCATAGATAGGTGACAATTGTCATAATCGCTATTTTTAAACTTTTTCAAATTTTTTTAAAGGAAATATCTAAAAATATATATTCTAAACATGTTAAATTAAAAATTCAGTGAGGATGTATCATAGATAGGTGACAATTGTCATAATCGCTATTTTTGAACTTTTTCAAATTTTTTTAAAGGAAATAGCTAAAAATATATATTCTAAACATGTTAAATTAAAATTTCAGTGAGGATGTATCATAGATAGGTGACAATTGTCATAATCGCTATTTTTGAACTTTTTCAAATTTTTTTAAAGGAGATAGCTAAAAATATATATTCTAAACATGTTAAAGTCATTTATCTATGATACATCCTCACTGAATTTTTAATTTAACATGTTTAGAATATATATTTTTAGATATTTCCTTTAAAAAAATTTGAAAAAGTTCAAAAATAGTGATTATGACAATTGTCATCTATATATGATACATCCTCACTGAATTTTAAATTTAATATGTTTAGAATATATATTTTAAGATGTTTCCTTTAAAAAAATTTGAAAAAGTTCAAAAATAGCGATTATGACAATTGCCACATATCTATGATACATCCTCACTGAATTTTTAATTTAACATTTTTAGAATATATATTTTTTCCTATTTCCTTTAAAATAATTGAAAAAAGTTCAAAAATAGCGATTATGACAATTGTCACTTTTCTATGGTACATCTTCACTGAAATTTTATTTTAACATCTTTACAATATATATTTTTAGCTATTTCCTTTAAAAAAATTTGAAAAAGTTCAAAAATAGCGATTATGACAATTGTTACCTATCTATGATACATCCTCACTGAATTTTTAATTTAACATGTTTAGAATATATATTTTTAGATATTTCCTTTAAAAAAATTTGAAAAAGTTTAAAAATAGCGATTATGACAATTGTCACCTATCTATGATACATCCTCACTGAAATTTTAATTTAACATGTTTAGAATATATATTTTTAGCTATTTCCTTTAAAAAAATTTGAAAAAGTTCAAAAATAGCGATTATGACAATTGTCACTTTTCTATGGTACATCTTCACTGAAATTTTATTTTAACATCTTTACAATATATATTTTTAGCTATTTCCTTTAAAAAAATTTGAAAAAGTTCAAAAATAGCGATTATGACAATTGTCTACCATCTATGATACATCCTCACTGAATTTTTAATTTAACATGTTTAGAATATATATTTTTAGATATTTCCTTTAAAAAAATTTGAAAAAGTTTAAAAATAGCGATTATGACAATTGTCACCTATCTATGATACATCCTCACTGAAATTTTAATTTAACATGTTTAGAATATATGTTTTTAGCTATTTCCTTTAAAAAAATTTGAAAAAGTTCAAAAATAGCAATTATGACAATTGTCACTTTTCTATGGTACATCTTCACTGAAATTTTATTTTAACATCTTTACAATATATATTTTTAGCTATTTCCTTTAAAAAAATTTGAAAAAGTTCAAAAATAGCGATTATGACAATTGTCACCTATCTATGATACATCCTCACTGAATTTTTAATTTAACATGTTTAGAATATATATTTTTAGATATTTCCTTTAAAAAAATTTGAAAAAGTTCAAAAATAGCGATTATGACAATTGTCACCTATGTATGATACATCCTCACTGAATTTTAAATTTAACATGTTTAGAATATATATTTTAAGATGTTTCCTTTAAAAAAATTTAAAAAGTTTAAAAATAGCGATTATGACAATTGTCACCTATCTATGATACATCCTCACTGAAATTTTAATTTAACATGTTTAGAATATATATTTTTAGCTATTTCCTTTAAAAAAATTTGAAAAAGTTCAAAAATAGCGATTATGACAATTGTCACCTATCTATGATACATCCTCACTGAATTTTTAATTTAACATGTTTAGAATATATATTTTTAGATATTTCCTTTAAAAAAATTTGAAAAAGTTCAAAAATAGTGATTATGACAATTGTCATCTATATATGATACATCCTCACTGAATTTTAAATTTAATATGTTTAGAATATATATTTTAAGATGTTTCCTTTAAAAAAATTTGAAAAAGTTCAAAAATAGCGATTATGACAATTGTCACATATCTATGATACATCCTCACTGAATTTTTAATTTAACATTTTTAGAATATATATTTTTTCCTATTTCCTTTAAAATAATTGAAAAAAGTTCAAAAATAGCGATTATGACAATTGTCACTTTTCTATGGTACATCTTCACTGAAATTTTATTTTAACATCTTTACAATATATATTTTTAGCTATTTCCTTTAAAAAAATTTGAAAAAGTTCAAAAATAGCGATTATGACAATTGTTACCTATCTATGATACATCCTCACTGAATTTTTAATTTAACATGTTTAGAATATATATTTTTAGATATTTCCTTTAAAAAAATTTGAAAAAGTTTAAAAATAGCGATTATGACAATTGTCACCTATCTATGATACATCCTCACTGAAATTTTAATTTAACATGTTTAGAATATATATTTTTAGCTATTTCCTTTAAAAAAATTTGAAAAAGTTCAAAAATAGCGATTATGACAATTGTCACTTTTCTATGGTACATCTTCACTGAAATTTTATTTTAACATCTTTACAATATATATTTTTAGCTATTTCCTTTAAAAAAATTTGAAAAAGTTCAAAAATAGCGATTATGACAATTGTCTTCCATCTATGATACATCCTCACTGAATTTTTAATTTAACATGTTTAGAATATATATTTTTAGATATTTCCTTTAAAAAAATTTGAAAAAGTTTAAAAATAGCGATTATGACAATTGTCACCTATCTATGATACATCCTCACTGAAATTTTAATTTAACATGTTTAGAATATATGTTTTTAGCTATTTCCTTTAAAAAAATTTGAAAAAGTTCAAAAATAGCAATTATGACAATTGTCACTTTTCTATGGTACATCTTCACTGAAATTTTATTTTAACATCTTTACAATATATATTTTTAGCTATTTCCTTTAAAAAAATTTGAAAAAGTTCAAAAATAGCGATTATGACAATTGTCACCTATCTATGATACATCCTCACTGAATTTTTAATTTAACATGTTTAGAATATATATTTTTAGATATTTCCTTTAAAAAAATTTGAAAAAGTTCAAAAATAGCGATTATGACAATTGTCACCTATATATGATACATCCTCACTGAATTTTAAATTTAACATGTTTAGAATATATATTTTAAGATGTTTCCTTTAAAAAAATTTGAAAAAGTTTAAAAATAGCGATTATGACAATTGTCACCTATCTATGATACATCCTCACTGAAATTTTAATTTAACATGTTTAGAATATATATTTTTAGCTATTTCCTGTAAAAAAATTTGAAAAAGTTCAAAAATAGCGATTATGACAATTGTCACCTATCTATGATACATCCTCACTGAATTTTTAATTTAACATGTTTAGAATATATATTTTTAGATATTTCCTTTAAAAAAATTTGAAAAAGTTCAAAAATAGCGATTATGACAATTGTCACATATCTATGATACATCCTCACTGAATTTTTAATTTAACATGGTTAGAATATATATTTTTTGCTATTTCCTTTAAAAAAATTGAAAAAAGTTCAAAAATAGCGATTATGACAATTGTCACCTATCTATGATACATCCTCACTGAATTTTTAATTTAACATGTTTAGAATATATATTTTTAGCAATTTGCTTTAAAGAAACTCAAAAAAGTTCAAAAATAGCGATTATGACAATTACCACTTATCTATGGTACATCATCACTGAAATTTTGATTTAACATGTCTACAATATATATTTTTCTATTTCATTTAAAAAAGTTCAAAAATAATTATCATGACAAATGGCACTTTTCTATGGTACATCACTTAAAAATTTTAAAATATAACTATGATGAATAGTCAATCAGAGCATTATAATTTAAAGAAGCTTTAAGTAACTTTCCCGCCTATAATATTAATATATACTAAATGTTATTTGACTTTTGGTCGAAAAAAATGATCTAGATATTGGGTTAGGGGTGAAAAAAAGCAACCCCAACTTTAAGTCGTCTTTAAAAAGAAAGATCCATATTTTGGGTCGGATTGAATAAAACGACCCGATGTTTGAGTCTGAGTCAGAAAAACGACCCAAACTTTGAGTTAGAGTCGAAAAATACGACCCAAACTTCAAGTTTTAGTCGAAAAATACGACCCAAACTTCAAGTTTGAGTCGAAAAATATGACCCAAACTTCAAGTTTAAGTCGAAAAATACGACCCAAATTTCAAGTTTGAGTCGAAAAATACGACCCAAATTTTGAGTCGGAGTCGTAAAAAACGACCCATATTTTGGGTCGAGGTCGTTTTTTTCGGCTTGGACTTGGGTCGGAGTCGAAAAAAACGACCCATATTTTGGGTCGAAGTCGTTTTTTTCGGCTTGAACTCGGGTCGAAGTCGAAAAAAACGACCCAAACATTGAGTCGGAGTCGAATAAAACGACCCGAGCTTTGGGTCGGGGTCGCGACTCGCGGCGTTTTAACAACACTAGTCATAGGTACAAAGGATTAGTTTACTTCCTGTTTAAAATCTCTCCCCTATTTATAAAGTTGTTTTTTATTTATGTGAATTATTTGTCTATACCATAATATAATAAATTAATTTAAATCAATAAAATTGGTTTTATTCTGATACATTATTCATTTGAATAATAAAAATTATCACATTTTCATCATTCACTAGACAATGAAGGCAAAAAAAAACATCCAAAAATTTTAATAGTATAAAAATAAACATAAGTTACAGAGATGTAAAAAGGATTTAAAAAAAGGCAAAAGTTAGCCAATTTGTTCTTTGCTACCAAATTTATAATAGTTATTTTAAAAAAGGTCAGAATGAGCATAGTGTAAGTCTTAAATGAACACATTAGTTCAATGAACAATTAAATAATGATGAAATAAGTTGCATTTAAATGATGAATTAGATAGTGTGATTATTATGATGTATATAAGAGCCATTTCCAACCAATCAATATTAAAAATTCATCTTTATATGAAGAAGAGATCAAGTTTTTAGTTTACATATGGAGACAATTTGCATAGGCTAACTCTTCCATGAATATCTCATGCATTCACTAATTAAAAAGCAATTTCCAACCTTATTTTATTTTTTTTAAAAAAATAAAGTAATGTGAACATACCCACTTAAGGGCTGATTTTATTAGTTGTTAGTCTAATTCCATAAAAAATAAATTTGAACTAGCTTATTTTAAAAATTAAAAAAGGGGTCAAATTGAATTCCCAGGGCTCTAGACTAAGGGTAAAATATGTATTTTATTTAAATAAATGTAAAAGACTACTTAATTTATAATAATAACTCATATACCTTTATGCCATATATTCCCTTTCCTATTGCCAGCTCTAGCCCGTCCAGTTCCTTTTTGAGGCCAAGGCTTTTTAAAAGATCCAGGAACTTCATGGATTGCTAATGCATTCTTAAAACTCTTATATTTGAATTATGTATATTAAATTATTAACTATTATGCAAAACTTTATTTACATTTTTTGCAATACGTCAGTATTCATAAAATGTATTAAAATAGTTAAATATCTAATTTAAATTAATGACTCACTATATTCCTATAGTTTTCTTGCCAGTTTGTATTAATTTTTATCAAATCTAATCTGAGTAAATAGATAAAAATTACATTATAATTTTAATAAACCTAGGTATGGTGGCAAAAATGTCAGGATGTAAGTCAATTATGCCTAATTTTTGGTCTTCTATACTTTTCAATGTCTGAATCCAGGCTTGTCTGGGCTTGGTATATAAATTTGGGAATTTCAATTCTCGCAAAACATGACCGTATTCTTTTACTTATGTTTTTGATAAAAATTTTATTTAATTATAAATAATATAATACATTGGGATATATCCGATATTTCAGTATTTAGACAAAGCCCCTAATAAAAAGAGAAATCTAAATTAAGGATAAATAAATTACTTTTGAGTTATGTTTTAAAACTGAAAAAAGATTTCTTTTTAAAATCATTTACTGAATAAAGTTTTCACAAATAAGACGAATTGACATTCTGTCGAATATGACGCAGTGGTAACCCAAGACAAATAATACCTAGATTGACGTTGCATTCATTATAAGTGTACATCCAATGACATATATGTCATTGTGTACATCAATAAAAATCAGCTGGGGCTTATCAGTTTAAAACTCTTTAACCTAACATAATAGCTTTTTAAAGATGCCTTTTGAACCAACATTTCATAACACATTATGGCATAAATTTAAACTTTTGATCTGGTCAGCATATACATTGTAACCTTAATTTCTGTTCTGTCTTTTTCTTAATAGTGATCTTTTGATCTTAAATATTATATTAGCATATAAGGTATCTTTCAGGTATGCTCTACTTATCTAAACTAATAACATAACATTACATAAAACATATCTTAAATTTTTTTTGGCTATCTTATACACCAAGTATATACGACATTATAATACATTAGCATAGCAACATTATAACTTTAACGATTGTTGGCTATATTGGTAATGGGAGATCAATCACAATATTATCCATATTTTTGTTACTTAATAAGTTCCCTCTTTTTAAATAAATTGCCTTTTAGGCGCCTCTTCGACGCCGGAAAAATTTTTTTTTTTTTTAAAAAAATGATTGTGATTATATTCTTATACTTTAGGTGCCAGTGACTAATGTTTTCTTTCTCTTGTCCCTGATAAAATTTTCATTATTATTATTCCAATTTCTCTCAAATACTTTGTTGATAGCTTATATTATTTATTTTTACATGTCTCTATTTCATTTATTTTCATTTATTTAAATTTTAGCGTATTGGATTGAAAGGAAAAATCTTTTCTTTTAAACATGATTTATTATTAACTATATTACAAAAATATATAGAAAAAATATATGGAAAAATATATAGAAATAAAGAAATCTCACCAACTTTTTCTCCCATATTATTATTTTAGTCCTACTTTATAAAACACAAGCCCAATATAACACTCTATTATTTTTCCAATTATTTTTCAATTTTACAATTATTTTCAATTTTTAATTTTACTACAATCAAGTTAAACACGTTCTTTGTTTTACCAACTCTCACCTTATTGCAAACCGAAATATACTGAAACTGAGGTAAATTTTTCTTTTTCTTAATTTATAGACTTTAAGAGTCAAAAAAATAGGAAAACGTAATAAAGTCATTTATCGTAAGAAAATTTTTAAGGGGATAATCATACCTTTTGTATAGTTGGAATGTGATTTTCATTGTCAAATAGTTAATATATTAGAGTGTATACTTTTGATTTATAACATACACGTATTTCTGCTTTAAAAAATTTTTTTTTTAAATTTTGTTCGTCAAATTTTAAATCTGCTTTGTTAAATCTTTTTTAGTTTCAAGCGTTAACTGATATGGAGAACACAGTGTACGGTAAATTACTTATTGGGTCCCTTAATATTAATGGTTTGAATAATAAACTAGTAGTGCTACTAAGAGATTATGCGTCCATGAAATTAGACATCATTGGCATTCAGGAGACTCATAATCCAGGAAATACTACGGCTGACTTTAATGAATATAAGTTGTTTTGTTCTGGTATCACCCTTAATAGCTGGTCAGGAATAGCTTTCCTAACAAGCAGACGAATACAAAAATCAATAATTAATTTTGTACCTATATCAGAAAGATGTGGACTCCTGTATCTGAATACAAAATTCAGACCCACAATTTTAGTATATTTGTAAGCCCCACCAAAGAGGAAAGAGAGACTCGACTACATTAACGAAATAATTACTCTAATAAATTCCCTGCCTTTGAGGTATAATATCATAATCTTAGGAGACTTGAGAATTGGCAAAAACGAGGAATATGATAATAATATTATTGGAAGTGCCAGCATGCAGCAAATCAATAAGGAGGATAGCATCAGATTACTGGATTTTTGCAGAACCAAAAATCTGAAAATAGTGAACACCTTTTTCAATCATAACGAGATAAACACGTTTACTTTCATGAGAGCTAATCAAAAATCTCAAATAGATTTTTTCATATCAAATATCCATGAATGGTTCGAGGATGTTAAAGTGTCCACGAACATCAAATTATCAGATCATAGATTGGTAGTCGCAAAGATGTTTGTAAAAAATATATGGAAATATCATCACAAAAATAGCCCAAATACACTAGGCTACAGAGTAAACTCTCTTAAACCCATACTTCCAAGAAAACAAATAAAGGCACATTCACACGAAAATCTACAAATACTAGATCAAGCGTTAAAAAGGAAAAGAGACATTTTTTTAAATACGACCGAAAATAGAAATGTAAATGCTGTTTGGAATCTTTTTAAAAGAAACATCATAGAGTCACACAATACACTACCAAATGTGAATATCTTTCTAAGGAAGGAATGGATAACAAACGAGACAGTAATCAAAATAAATCAACTTAGAGAAGGAAATATTTTAAACAAAGACTTATGGAAGGACATACAAAAACGTTTGAGGAGTGATAGAAGGACATACATTGCTAAGAAAGCTTTTGAAATAGATAAAGATATGAAGGACAATAGAATATATGATGCATATAACAAACTGAACTATTTTTGTAAACCCTACAGTTTTAAAAAAATCCCATCTCTAGTTCTAAAAAACGGAAAACAAGATGAACAATTAGCTTTATGGGTAGATTACTATATGAGGGTCTTTGACTCAAGAAAAGCCTTCTGCCAAACAAGCACAAGCGTACGCTCAATCCCGCCTCCGTCTGGTTTTTCCACCGATGAAATAAAGAAAGCTATCACTAAACTATGTAATAATAATAAAGCTCCTGGGCTTGACGAAATAACTGCCGAACATCTAAAAAGTGCATCAAACACTATATCTTCCTATCTATTACCCCTCTTTAACAAAATCTGGGATAGTGGCGAAACTCCTAAAGAATGTAATATCTCTTTATTATGTAATTTTCCCAAAATAAAAGACCCAAAAAGCTTCAAAGATTATCGGGCTATTGCCCTAACATTTACTGTTTCTAAAATATTCATGGTTCTGATAAAGAACAGAATTTTGTCATCTCGGCCAACCTTACTTCCGAAATATATTTGTGCCTACAGGCCAAAGAGAAATATGCTAGAACTAATTTTAGCACTAAAAATAATAATACAAAAATGTTGGAAATACAAAATTAACGCCTACCTCATCTTATGTTGATTTCAGTAGAGCGTTTAACAATGTAAATCATGATGCTCTTTGGAAGACATTGTTGGAATGCGAGATTGAATCAAACATAATCCACATAATAAAAAACCATTATACGAATCTCACCGGCTGTATAAAAATTAACAATAAGATACCCCCCCCCCCTTTAAGATAAAGAAAGGCGTAAAACAAGGATGCGTACTTTCACCTTTACTGTTCAATATTATAATGCATAAAATTATTAAAGAAGTTTCAGGAGCTGCATGTTTAATGGATCTAAGCTCCAATTCAAAGTTACATCTAGAGAACAGAATAATATCATACGCAGATGACATCGCTGTAGTGTCCTTAAGTATTAAAGAAACGGAAAATATATAACACCTATTAGTAAACTTAAGTCTAAAAATGGGTTTAAAATTCAATTTTAATAAAACAGTTATTCTTCCTTCCCCGAGTGCTGCCCAGAATCCAAGTATCATAATTGATGGCAATATCTTTTAGGTAGTAGAAAAATAAAATATCTAGGCGTACTTTTGGATAACAAGGGCTGTTGTAAAGAAGAGATGAAAACCAGAATACAAAAGGCAAAAGGGGCTTTTTACAAGTATATGAAGTTATTGAAGACGAAAGAGATCTCTGTTCACACCAGACTTAGAATCTTCAATTCTACAATCATCCCCATATTACTTTTTGGATGGGACTTATGGGTATTTAACAAAACAGAAAATAGGAGACTCCAATCCTTCATAAATAACTGCCTTAGAATCATAAATGGAATTTTTTATCCGAAGGTTATATCAAACAACAATTTATAGAGAGCATCTAAGCATACTCCGATACACATCACCCTGAGGAAACGCCGTATTCAATTTCTGGCCCATATCATAAGAAACTCAGATCAAAATCTTGTCCATGATGTTATTACTTGGCTTTACACCTATAATAGAAAAGAATATACAAAATACAAATCCCTCTGGTACTATAAGACCATAAAAGATATAATGGAGTTAAATTTAAATATGAAACAATTCATTAAATTAAATAACTGCAAAAAGTTCATTAAAAAACTCTTCAGGATAAAGGAAAGATATTTCAAATGAAAAAATCACCAGTGTTTTATATTTTTAATCACCAAAATCATGGGACGTTTCTAAATTAGGACTAATAGCAAACTGAATTGGTATGTACTTTATTTCATCTTAATTTCTATAAAAATCTTTAAATAAAAATCAGCCACTACCCACCCTTAAAGTAATTAACTTAAACTGCAGTTCTTGGGCATAGGCTCTTTTTTTGTCCCGCTCCTATTTGATTTTAAGCCTATGGACGTCTGCAACTTCTTCGAAAAGTTGAGCGTACAAATACGTGCGGCTTGCCCATAAACGTGTTGAGGGCTCCTCATATTTTATTTTTAATTAATACCCAAATTAACTTTGTTCCAATTAGATGGAAATGAGGAAAACCTAGCGTAGCTCTGTTGATACTCAACGTTAGAGGGTATATGCGCTATATATCACCTATCACGTATATTTAACGTATACTTTATTAAAGAATTGTCAAATCATCGAAATAATAAGAAAACAAGTTATCAAATTAATAAGAGTAACATGATAATAATTACTATAAAAGTCGCTTTCAAATTATGAATAAATCGTCAGTCTAGATAATATTATATGCCATTGTATGAATTCGAACCCTGAACTCTCGTATATTGGCTGTACCCTAATCTGGACCCTTTTTAAAAGAAGAGGAAGGGTTCTAGGTGTCAATGGGCAGGTAGGTGGGTGAGCGGGTTAAGAAATTTAAAATTTTTGTTCAAAACAAACTAATTTTTTATTGTACCAATCGTTTTTTTTAAATGAAGAACACTTACCTAACTATATTATGTACAACAATAAAACTTTTTTTTGAATATAAATAAATTTTTCTGTGTATTAAAATTAAAATTTCCTTTTATGGGAATGTAATAAAACTTTTCTCTTAAAATAAATAATCATTTTTGGATATTGAAAATTAAAATTATCTTTTTAAGTCTACAATCTGCATTGAATATTTTATTTTAGTAGTTTATATTTATATTTGCCCTTTTCATTTTTAATTATTATATAATATATAAATTTTATTTTTTATAACATAATTTTTAATAAAAATTAAAAAATATTTTTTAATTTAATTTTTATTTTAAAATTATATTATGAATAACGTATATATATCTAAAAAAATAAAAAATAATTTTTACAAGTTAAAAGATAATGAATCAGACAATAAACTCAAATCTTCAATGTGGAAACAATTTAAAATCATTTTTGATGACAATGACAAAAAGCTAGATTGGATTCGCTGCAATATTTGCGAATCTATCTATAAATATAATAACAAAAATGGCACATCCTTCTTCCTTCGGCATCAATGTTCATTTGTAAATTATGAAGATTTTATAGATAATAAAAAAATAACCGAATATTTTCAAAAAGACAATTCCCAATTTAACAAAACGATAAAATCGGGTCTAATTGTCAATTTGTAGAGGTGTAATGCCGAAATTTTTTTTATTAGATGCTTAAAAAATTAAACCATAATTAAATTTTATAAGAGGGCTTGGGTTAAAATTTTTTTTATATATAATGGGCGGGCGGGTAAAAAATTTCAGAATAATGGGCGGGCGGGTAAGAAATTTTAGATTAAAATATATTTTTTGAAAACTATGGGCGGGTTGGTTAAATTTTTTTAAAACAATGGGTCCAATGCAGACCTCTAATAGTGAATCATTTATAAGCATATTAGATTTAAGAATGAAAATTTTGGACGCGTCAAACCGCTTGTAAATAAATTGGCAAATTATACCAAGCTTCCAAATTAAAGCGAATTAGAAAATTAACAAATGTTCATAGTATTGTCAATATCTCAACCAATAACTCTTTATAGCTATCACATTATTATATTAACAATAAAGGGAAAATGGAAAGTTTTATTTAAGATTTAATTAAATTACCACACCCACATTGTGGTTATGATTTTTCCAAAGCATTGTTAGCATCACTCGATTCATTTGAATTCAAGTTAGATATTATCAATCACTCACGACAATACAACATATAGAGTAAGTGTTGCAGCGAAAATGTAACGATTTTTAAATTAAAATATAATATAATGTTTAGCCATAGATGTATGCCCATAACATTAACATTCTTGTAAAAGAAGGGATATCATCATTAGATGTTTAACTTGAAAAAGATATCTCTTTTGCCCAAGCTCCTACATAAATATATGGAGCTATCTGATGGAACCAGAATCTTTCTAGATGATATTTTCGACCTAGGTCTAGAGGAAGACACCACTGAGCCAAGTGACATCAAGGGCGTGATGAAATTGTTTCATTTGGATGAATCACCTGGAATACAAGAGGTTAATCACATGGGCAGAGTCAAAAATAGTTATGTGATAACAAAACCCATTCAGGACTCTCACGCACATGGTAAATCTCTTAAGCAACACCAGTTCATCAACGACGATCGCCCCGAATAGCACTTCGAAGAAACGTTATGATGTACGCTGCGACTATTGCCACGACAAACGATTCGATAGACGGCACAGCAATTTCCACGACAATCGTTTTGATCAAAGCCACGATAATTTTCACTATAACCGCAACCGTTTCGATAATCGCAACGACTGCTATAGAGGTGATAACCTAACCAACTATTCCCGTCGTGGTCAGAACAGACACAACCCTCAAAATATTAAAGGTTTCCCGAAATATTCGTCGAGGCCTAACCAGTACAATATACATTAATACTTACAATAGATCTTCTGATTACAAAGATTGTGATTGTCAATTGAATACGAACCATGCTATGAACATCGAAGTAATCGATGATGACGACGACTTTGGATGGTTGGCTGAGACAACATAAACCTTGTTCGAGAGGAATCTAGATTCCCGAAGCCATGCATAAATGATCTGATGGCAAAGTTAGCTAAGGGCTGCCTTTACTTTACCGCCATCGTTCGGTTTGAAAAGAAGACACCATGAACATGGATGGTGTATTGCTTGGCGATCATGAACGACAATAGCGTTACCACTCAACTTATCCAAGGAAATCCTAAGCCGAATTTCTTTGGAGGGTGGAATGTTAAATAATAGTGATTATACCTTTCGGTGAAAATTTTATATTAACATTTTTTTATATATCATTTTAATGTGACATTTTTTTTATTCACTTTGTATTTAAATATAATCGGTGAAAATTTTATATTAACATTTTTTTTATATCATTATAACGTTACATTTTTTATAATGTCAATTTATATTAATACACAATTAGTTATTTTTTTTATTGTTTAAAAAAAGATATATAAAGAGAAATTGTTTTTGTTGAAAGGGGAAGAAAAAATGTAATTTATCATTGAAAATAAAATGTAAATTATGATTAAAAATAAAATATAAACGAGAATTTACACAATTCTTACAACATAGCAATACAAATAATAGATGCTGGTTAATTAGCAGTAATAGCCATGACACTCACGATGTAAACTAGTATCAGAATTTATTATGTTGGATAAATTGATAAAATAAAAACACTAAAAATCTTTGGAAGAAATAATTGTGCAAATATAGTGTTGTTAAAAAGTCGAGTTCTCCTGACTTCGACTCCGAGTCGAAGTCGCAATAATCGACTCATTTTTACAACTCAAGTTTTGAACTTGAGTCGTGAACTCAAGTCGTGAACTCAAGTCGTGAACTCGAGTTATGAACTTGAGTCGTGAACTCAAGTCGTGAACACAAGTCGTGAACTCGAGTTATGAACTTGAGTCGTGAACTCAAGTCGTGAACTCGAGTTATGAACTTGAGTCGTGAACTCAAGTCGCGACTCGAGTTATAAACTTGAGTCGTGAACTCAAGTCGTGAACTCGAGTCGTGAACTTGAGTCGCGACTCGAGTTATTTGAGTCGTGAACTCAAGTCGCGACTTAAATTATGAACTTAAGTCATGAATTAAAGTCGACTTA